CCCCCCCCCTCGGCATAATAAATGTACTTTCCCTAAATACCACGCTTTTCGAAGCTTATTATTCATGGATATTCATGTAAACGTCTTCAAACTTTGTATACTTACTAATGTTGAGGTGGTCTTTTTAGTGATTTGGTTCATTTCTTAATTTGGGCACTTTTTAACACTCGTCCCCAGTCCACTCATCAACTTCGGAATGGCTAATTGGGGAGCACCAGCACGTATAACATATGCGAGTTATACGTGCTGGTTATGCACCAGAATCGCAGGTTGGATTCCTGTGAGAGGGTCCGATAGTTGCATTTTTCGCAACTGTTCCTGGTTATGTAATATTAGTTTAAATATAATTTATAAAAACGTGTAGATATGAAATTAACGATAATATTAAATAACTTAACTAAAAGTTCTAAACCAACTGACTCAATTTTCAACTGTTGTTATTCCATCAGTTTGATTTTTCCCTAGGTTCGATACAAACTCGGAAATATTTCTGTGATTTTGCGAGTTCAATTGCTTCGTTAATTTGATGTAAACTGTAGGACGGGCTGATCAAGTCTTCATACGGGTATTTATCGATTGTGTCACTTAAGAATTTCACAGCTTGATCCAGGTGGGCTGGTCCGTAATTGTGGATGCCTTGAAAATGGAAAGAATGGTAGATTGTTGGTTTTGGTGTTGTAGTTTGTTGTAGTAATTTGCTGTTGTTGGTGTTGTAGTTTGTTGTAGTAATTTGCTGTTGTTGGTGTTGTAGGTTGTTGTTGTTGTTGTTGTCGTTGTTGTGTGTTGTGTGTTGTTGCTGTTGCTGCTGCTGTTGTTGTTGTTGTCGTTGTGGTTACTGTTGCTGTTGTGGTTCTTGTTGTTCCTGGTGCTGTCGCTATTGTTGCTATTGTTGTTGTTGTTGTTGTTGTTGTTGTTGTTGTTGTTGTTGTTGTTGTTGTTGTTGTTGTTGTTGTTGTTGTTGTTGTTGTTGTTGTTGTTGTTGTTGTTGTTGTTGTTGTTGTTGTCGTTGTTGTCGTTGTTGTTGTTGTTGTTTCGTCCCGTCTCGTGTGAAGATAGGCTTGTTCGCTTACCATGTATAGTTAAACATTTTCGTATAATCTGTTCAGCGGTGACATCAAGTTTCGAGTCAGGATGCACCATACCAGTGAGAACGTAAGTACCACCAGGTTTGATCACTCTCATCCCCTCATTGAATACACTTTTAACACCGCATGCCTGAGAACAAATAAAACTATGGTGTATGTCTGCGAAGTTAGGGGGTATAGGACTTCGTCAGTGAAAGCGCCTTTCACTTTTGAGAACGAGAGAAGAGTCAGTCAACGCTCTGCTGAAAGTCGTGGGTTCTCTCCGGTTTCCTCCCACAAGGAAAGTTGACAGGGTGGGTTAGGATAAACATCGTTAGGAAAGTAATATCACAATTGTTGGGCAGCGTATTTAAACCATTACCTCGAGCACAACATCGCATGAATCATTCTTCAAAGAGAACTCTTCCTCGCTACCTACAAAAGACTGGTGATGTTTATAAATAATCTCAAAGCTGCTCTTTAAAATATGCGACAAATAAAGACAGTAAAACTATTCCTTACCCAGTTTTATTGGCAGAGCCCCGAATTTTGCTGCCATGTCCAAGCGATCATGGTGGATATCTGAGCAAAATATTTCCTTATACCCAGCTTCTTTGAATAGTATGCCTGCATAGAGACCTAGCAAGCCAGCACCCTACATCAATGAAAACAATTTCTTGTTGATCAGTGTACTTGCAATATGCATGCTGGTAATATGCGTTTCTTTATCAGAACGGGACATTATGGAATATAATAGAATGGGATAAAGCGAATGGATGAGAATATAATATAATGGAAGAAAATAGAATATGATGAATCAGAATAGGATGGTATTCTTTTATAGAAGATTCGAGCTTTTGTCAAATAAACGTGATGCTTTCGACATTAATTCACCTGAATCAAAGCTGTTTTCTTGCTATTCAACTTCCGCTGTTTTTCCAAGGAATTCAAGTCCACCACAGGATTAACAGCATTCACCATTGTCGCCAGAGCACAGTTCAATGGTGCTGCAATTCTACTGGGTAAATTATCTGGCAGTTTGGTAACATGCGTTCCTTTGCGTAACACAATATGAGTCGCATAACAGCCGTTCCACCCTGTACCATCTGATATGTGCGAGTGGCCATACTGGGGAAAGAATTTTTAATATTTGTTTTGTTATTCTATCATTAACATTACAATCACCATCATCATCACCACCACCAATCATAATTATCTTCATCATCGTCACCACCATGACCACTATCACAAGCATCATGATACCATCACTACAGCCATTACCACCAAACATTGTCACCATTTTCATCATCACCACCATCATAATCATGACTACCACCAGCAATGACCATGACCAATATCATCATCATGACTATCATCACCAATCACCATCATAATCACCATCATTATAATCACTATTGTACTACCATCAGTCACCATCATCATGGTTGATCATCATAATCATGACCACTATCATCACCATCATCACAACCATCATCACAACCATGATCATCATTATAGTCATGATCATGTGATCAACCATTCAAAACCTATTTAATTGACCTTGACCACACTGATTATCCCATGTGACAACATCACATGCTTTGCCCATGTCATTTCCAAATTAAATCACATGACAATCACATGCCAAACCTCTCACCTTGAATAAAGAATGACATTTCTGATGTAAATTACTGTGGCATCGTTCACAATTTTGACAAAAATCTGCTATAGTAAAAGTAAGTCTGTCTCCTTTGTTGATGTTTGAATTATCGCACGCATGATCAATAACCTCTATAACGCCTTCGTGGCCCAATATACTACAAGAAAACGAAGACCTCAAGCATGATTGTCGAACTACCAAACTTTAATAATACACAGGATGATTCGTCTGTTTGCCATGTTTATACACAGATAAATGATTAATATTAGACAACTATCTTTTCTTTGTCCAAACAAATCAAGTATACATCGGTCCAAAAAGTTGCAAACATACAATTAGAACGTCGATTAGAATGAAAATAATGAACGTTGATTATAATGTAACAAATATTAGAACGTCGATTACCAAGAATATAACAAAATCCATGCTTTTAAAATCCATTAAATCAACCTAATTTAATAAATAAAACGTCTGTATTAGCTGAAATAATTTCATATTTGTTCTTGTTGGTGGCATGTATATTTGACATGTCATTTATATTTATAATATAATGTGTCTCAAATTTATTTATACTGTACTCATAAAGTGTACTTTACTTGATAATTTTAAACAATCATAAAATTTTAAATTTATATACCGCAAATTTCTATTAATACTATACCTTGGAACAGGCTCATTCCGTTTCCCAAGAAACGTATGTAAATCTGAGCCACATATGGTGGCTGCTTTAATTTGACCTAAAATTTCTCCTTCGCTTATCTGGGGTAGTTCGGCTTGCTCTGTCGAAAGACACGGCTCTGCCGCCGGTCCTTGGAATACAACTCTTTCACCGTATGCTAGAGTAGGTTTTTGTTGAATTTGTGTCTTTGCTGTCGAGAAGAAACTCTTTTCCATTCGGAGGAAATATCTACGAAGCAACATTGTTAGCCTTTGTTTTGTTGTGATTTGTCTGTGTGGGTAGACAAGCTAGACATGACACGTTGCCACGTCTAACCAAGGGTCTGATTTCCTGTTTAAAAAAAACTTCCTTCAATTTATAGTAATTGTTTTAACTATTGATTATTGAATGAAGAACAATGTTAATTAATGACATATTATAAAGTTGCAATATGTGATAATTTCAAAGACAAAATTCCATGTGAAATTTTTGGGCAATCTAGGCAACATGTTTCACTTGCAAATTATGTTAATTTTGAACTATATTTCTTAAGTTGAATTATTGCTGGGTAACGGCTTACCCCCCAAACCTTTGCCCTTTTATGTCTTTTATAGTGTCTGACGCTGCCCCACATGAATACTTCAAGTTACATTAATTGTAGGTACATAAAAATGGGAAGGCATGAAAACATGAAAAGAAATACCAATGGAGGAATTGAGAATTTTTGGATAAAAATGTGCTCACCGTAAGATTGAAATAAACTATGTTTTGGAAAAGGCGTTTCTCAATAGCAAAAGAACTTATCTCCTCAGTTTGGCAGACATCACATCGACCAAAAGTGTCTGACGTTTTGAGCATGTATTTACGACAAAGGGGTATGCCTCCGTGGACATCATATTTTGTACCTTACACCTTTGTCCAGAATGACCAGTTTGGACTGTCACACTTTAACTGGAATGTGGATGGAATAAATTATCATATTTTACGAACCGGTTGCTTTCCATTTATAAAATACCACTGCAGCCAAAGACCCTGGCAAGATCTGACAGTCGAGAACAGATTCTATACAGTGATCAAGTGTATTAATGTTGGTTTTCCGTGTTTGATGTATGGCCTTTCTGCACTTATATTTATCTTGCATCGAGACTATGTAGTAATGAATGACAAAGGCTTGAAAATTCCACTTTATTTTTGGTATGAAGAAACAGAAGGAGCTATTTATTAGTTTTGGAACTATTAAATATATATATTAAAAGTTTCACTCTTTTATTGACTTTGTATATTATTATCTTGACAACAAGTCCAACAAGGGCAAGCGGGGCAGATTTTCGTGGTGGAGCACTTTTCAACAGGTTCCTAAATTTTGTGTTATTCCCCCCACCCCCTCCTAAAGTTTAGGATTATAAACTCTATGACTTGAGTTATGTTTAGGATTAGGGTTCGGTTCAGGATTAAGATTCGGATTAGTTATTAGGTTTATGATTATCTTTAGGATTTGGTTAGGACTATTAAGGATTAAGTTTTCAGACGAATTTCAGAACAATTTTCCATCTGTCAGAATTTCACAAGTAAAGGTGTTCGTGATTCGTCGTAACCGAACGTAAACTTTCGCATCATCTTCGGAAATCTGTTTTGAATATGAAATTAAAAAAGTTGATGAAAAACAAGTTTTTCACTGCAAAAACGGATTTTAAAAGGATTTTAACTTTTTAAAAAGATGCACCCAAGTGAGCTGAAAATAATTGGTAAGTTAGAATTATTTTTTGGTTGTTTTAACGGTGTTTTAAACATGTTTTTCTGCTACTGCAATGGTTTTTAAAAAAATGTTTATTTTTTGTTTAAACTAACAGTTTATGCTGCAAGAAATTTGCAATCTAAGAAAAAAGGAGGTAGACTTTCAATCTATTAAATAAAAATACAGCTTTTTAATATGCATGCAGTACGTGTTGAAAAGGAAGGTACGTATAATCACCAGCTAATTTAATGTGGGGTTTAATGTTTTCTTTAAAATGTAAAGGTGTGTGTCAAGCGTCAGTGATATTTGGGGTAGGCAAAGAGAAATATCGAACTGACGTTGTCAAAGGCGACAATCCAACTTGGAATGAAGAAGGAGTTATGTAAGTACTGTTGTCTTTTGTCAATCTGGCGGTCAGAATGTTCCATTGTCTTTTCATTGTTTTGAAAATCCCACTGTTCTCAATGCCATCCAGTCAAGATCCAGTGATCAGAATGTTCCATTGTCTTTTCATTGTTTTAAAAACCCCACTGTTCTCAATGCCATCCAGTCAAGATCCAGTGATCAGAATGTTCCATTGTTTTTTCATTGTTTTAAAAATCCTACTGTTCTCAATGCCATCCAGTCAAGATCCAGTGATCAGAATGTTCCAATGTCTTTTCATTGTTTTGAAAATCCCACTCAAAACGTCGTAGTTCTCCTTGTATTTTTCAGGTAGTTGTATCCCTATCAATCCGAATTTTTCTCATTATGCAAAGGGCCTGTTACCTATTGATAAGCTCAATATTTTCCCTTAGCAATGTAAGCAACCCGAACGCCTCTCTCGTCCTCACTGTGATGGACCGTGAAGATACAATAGGAAATATAACTCTTCCAGTAATCAATCTTCCTTCTGCTGCGCACAAACGTCGCTGGCTTCCTCTGCAACGAAAACATCAACAGACGTCAAGCGATCTCTGTTTTGATTGTTGGATTACTCAATTTAAAAAGGAAACTGTTTGGAATAAGTTTAATCCATTTTTTTCAAGCGCTCCAAGGTAAGGAAACTATACTAAATACCTCGGTCATTTCTAAACTGTTCTTCCTAGAGGTCCAGTAAGGGTCATCTCTTATTGATCCAGTGTTACTACAGGAGGAGACCTAAACTAAACTAACTTTATTAGTATACTGGGTAGCTCTATCAGTTCTAAACTGTTCTTTCTAGAGGTCTAGTAAGGATCATCTCTTATTGATCCAGTGTTACTACAGGATGAAACCCAAACTAGACTAACGTTATTTATACTGGGTAACTTCTTTATTTGTAGTCCACAAGAAAAGCGTCGCGAATCAATCGCTAGCGCGTCAACAGGCATTCGAGGCTCAACTTCTACTCTAGAACTTTGCTCAAAAAGTTTAGAACAAGACAGACGTGACTCTGTACCTTATGATTCTAAAAGCAGACGGCTGTCTTCAGGAAAGACGACAAGTAGTACAGACCTCTCCGCACCTGTTCCTCCGCGAACGCCATCCATTGTTCCACAGGAGTCATCGATGCCAAGACCAAAGTTATTACCGACGTTAGGAGCTGTCATGTCTATGAAAGGACCTCCTGAAATAACTGGCATCTCACCAAGGTGGTGGTTTTTTATATTTATTTGTTTATTAAACTTTGCCAAAACACGTAACAGAGCAACAAATAGACATCTAGACAACAAACCTAGACAAGAATGGCAGGGACACCACGACAGTGTAAATCAATTACTGTGGGCCCTTATATATGTTTGCATATAGCCTGAACGAATGTCACAATTCATGAAGAAAACACAAAAGAAATCATGAGCGTGAAGGAGTTTGTATATCTGATACAGAATCATGCTGATTTACATAAACGTTAAGTTCAATTTTCTCACCAAATATCATTCATTTATTTTTTCTCACCAAATATCATTCATTTATTTTAAATTGTTGAAGAATACGAATGTTCTCATCAAGGCGTTTCACAAGACACAAGCCATGTACAATATTCGCGAACGTGTTGTAATGTCGGATGTACAAACGCAGACGCAAATTAAATGTTGTAAACAGTACAGGTCACGGGTTCGATTCCCACCGTGGTCAGCCGGACAAACTTTTCAGCTTGCCCGGTGTGGATGCACACTCAGAGTAACATCACAGGCATCATATTCACCTTAGTACATAACACCAACACACACAAGAAGTATAAAAAAGTGTGAAGTATTCATAAGCAATCTTTTAACAGATTTGGACCGTCTCGTGGTGGAACAAAGATTACCATCCGTGGATGTAACTTGGGTACCAATACTGGCGACTTTCTTGGCTTCACCATATGTTCCGTTGACCATCTCGACAGTTTAGAATACCATACACCAGCTAAACTGGTATGCACCACACAACCCTGGGGTGGGAAGAAACCAAATCCTGGCCCTATTGTTCTCGTCACAAAATCTGGAGGGCGCGGCGTCTCCACCATTAAGTTTGAATTTCAAGGTGATCCTGTCGTACCTAAGAAGAAGAACTCGCTTGCGAAAGGAAAGGGTTCGTGAAGTTTTTTATTTTTTCATGGAAAACCAGGGAGAACAGTTTAGTACTCACAGAGCTATCCAGTATAAATAAAGTTGGCTTAGTTTAGGTTTCCTCCTGTAGTAACACTGGATCAATAAGAGATGATCGTTACTGGACCTCTAGGGAGAACAGTTTAGGAGTGATAAAGCTATCCAGTATAAATAAAGTTAGTTTAGTTTAGGTTTCCTTTTGTGGTAACACTGAATCAATAAGAGATGATCCTTACTGGACCTCTAGGCAGAACAGTTTAGAACTGATAGAGCTATCCTATAAATAAAGTTAGTCTAGGTAATGCTTGATTTTTCTGTTCTCAGGCGAAAGTAACAAAAAAGAAACAAAGAATACTAAAAATGAAACTTCTATCGATGTGGAAAAACTTCGCCGAAATGTCCAAGGTAGTAGACCGCTATCAGGGGTGTTTGTGGCCCAGTAGTGAGCGACTGTGTCTTTCACCTGAGACATTTGTGACCAGGGTACAATATGACTTGAATTCAGCCTTACGTGGGAAGAGCGTTTTCAGGAAACAGTGCAGTCTGCAAGTTTTCGCCGGATACTCTGGTTTCCTCCAGCAGTAACACTGGATCAAAATGGAATATTCCTTACTCTAGGAAGAATAGTTTAGAAGTGAAAGAGCTTAGAAAAGAGCTATATTTAGTCATTATATATCTCTATGTAGATCTGACCAGTGAAAACCAGTCTCTAAGAAGCTACATTGATAAACTGATGCTCGTACTGATGGAGAAATACCCGGACGCACTCGAGGCCACCATGTCCATTGATTCAGAAAAATGAGTAGACTTTGCATTCATTCACGCGAACATTGGACAATCTGCGGCTGTTCATCGTACGACGCAAGTGACGGCCGACCAGCGCCTGCAAGTTGATAATTCAGCAGTGTTATTGGGAAGCAGATAAATACTTCATTATTGTAAATTAAAGTGGTTTGTAAAATTGTAAATATTTATAAACAAGTTGTATTATAAAAGGAATTCTGATAATAACTAATAAAATGATATTAAATTTTGTTTGCTTGACCAAGAATTGTGTAGCATTAAGAAAATATGTGTTGCGTTATGGAGTGATAAATATTTCTAGATACATGCCTTGTTTTTCTACTTGTTCAGGTCAGTATATATATATAGTATAAAAGTAAAACCACATAAAACCTTGCCTCATTACATTTTCCAAGCAAGGCAAGGAAAAGTTTGATCAACCTTGCAAGCCAGGGTCTTTTACTTCTGCACGGTGCTCCAAGTGCAGATAAAAGACCCTGGCTTACGAGGTTGAGGTTTGATTGGGTAAACAGTATATAATGCTAATATATTCCTGTTGGATTGAACAACAGTGATGTTAATGTCATCTTGGCCACATTATGCTGTAGCTATTAATCTCCACATACACGAAAACGAGGCTCCATAGCCAAAGTGACGCACTTTCCCCTGAGGGTGTATTGTAACCTATTAACTATTTCAATAAATTTTATTAGTTATTCATAATGAAGAACTACCCAAAATAAGCTACTTGAAAGATGGTAACGAAAGTCAACTAGGTCCTGACGAGCAATATCCAGACTGGTTGTGGACGTTGAAAGGGACTAAACAGGACTTAAATGAACTCGATCCGCATGGCAGAACATACAGCAGAATCTTACGAAAGAGACAGCGCAGAGATGAAAACGAGCGAAGAAAAATGAAAAGATTTTGAGCTACTATGAATAAAAAGTTTTAAAAATTATATTTAGTAAATTATCTTTGCAATCTTTCAAATAAATAGATCTTATTTGCATATGGTTATATTTGTAAAACTTCTATATGGATTGTTGATATATGGAAACTATTAGCATATTTGCAGGACAATAACAAGTCTGTTGAGCTCAACAACCTTGTAGCAAGTTGTCAACAAGCTGGGAACAAGCAGTGCGAACACGTCTTGTTGACAAGTTGTTGAAACAGCATTGCTACAAGTCTGCTGTAGGTTTGTTACGTACAACTTGTGCATTTTTATGTGTGTTGTAATTTTCCTGCCCCAATATATTTTACAGTAAAGTGTGAACATTTTTTATGTTGGTGAGCATGAAAATGAATGAACCTAGGTGGGAAAATGTGAAAGAATGAAATGAATAAAAAGGAAAATAAAAGGAAAGGCAGGAAGGAAGGAATGAGCATAGAAAATGAAAGCACAGCGGAATGTGATTTGCGCATGCTCGCAATACCAAACTAAAGCTGTATGTCTGTATCTGAGTTCGAAATGGATACAAACTCGACTTTGCACAAGAAATATGTTGACTAAAAACGTTCGTCTGCCGTTTGTTCCTAAGTATAATGAAAGCCTTGGTCATAATGCTATCATAGAATGGAAAAACGGGGCGATCCCAGCAAGAGAAATGGTGAAATTTCGTCTGAAAACACAAGCGAGTCGGAGAAATCACTTCGACTTTTCAGGTATTAGACTTGTAATCTTTCACATTTTCGCTTCTGTTGTTGCTTTAATTTCACCCAAAATCTATAATATATAGGCTAAAGTATTAAGGGAGATATTCGTTTTATTATTTTGTGTAAATGTCTTTGAAACAGCAGCAATTTTAGCTTGCTTTTGTGAAGAATGCCATTTGCAAACGCGAGCTATTTGACGTCAAATAAATAGTATACACTTTTCAATGTAGACATTCGAAACTCGAAATGTATATACTAAATTATTTTTGTTAAAACGTTTAAATATACTCATTTTTAATGCTTTATGAATGGTGTGTAATTGTGAGACACTTGGACGTTTTTAAATATTACAAGAGTTTAATGTTTTTGGGTAATTTTGTCACGTCAGCTTCCGTCTGCTGTAAAGAAATTATTTTACAAATGTAGACGTTGACTAGTGATCGGAATTTGCTAAAAAATTGTACTATAAATGAAAATTTTAATGTGTATAAAAGCTCTGTTAGAATGAGGTATATTTTATGTAGTTAAGTGTTTATAATTGAAAGTTTGAAAAATTTGAAAGAGTACCTTGTCCTTGTACACTAAGTTTTCTCTGTATTACAATTTTGAAATACATGGGGGGTACTCTCCCCCTGACAAGCAAAATGATCTGGTGTTAGACAGAGTAAAACAGTAAAGCATGGTGCATTTCGGTGTACTGGTACTTAATGGGTTAAAATGACCTGGTGTTAGACAGAGTAAAACAATAAAGCAGGGTGCATTTGCATGCATTGGTGCTTAATGGGTTAAAATATCTGGTGTTAGACAGAGTAAAACAGTAAAGCAGGGTGCATTTGGGTGTATTTGTGCTTAATGGGTTAACCCTTTAAGTGGCAATGCGACCTGATGTGCCCTATTTTATTATTTTAATCTGTCTAACGCCATACAATTTGCAATGGGAGAGTGCTGCTACTCAATGGTTTAACATTATTGACTTTCTATAGATCATCTGTACAGATAGCTCAAAGATTAGATATTCAACTTAAATCTTGCAATTCTTGGCAAGAATTGTTTAACTCTGATGTTGTTTTACGACGGCAAAGGTAGGTTCATCGACGATGCAATAGTGTTAGCTTTCTGGAGGCTGTACATCTATATTCACATTGCTAGGCATAATGTGTGGGCGGCAGGGGTGGAAAAAATAGGCGAGCACATGAGCGGCGCTCGCAGGAAATGTTAAACAGCTGCGGGAATATTTTTAGGTTGAAGATTTGTAACTTGAAAATTTAAAGAAAGACTTAAGACAAATGTCTTGCTATGGTCCCAAGAACTCATTGGTTGGCAGTGAATTTTTTTCTTTAGGCTGTGCTTGCAGGAAGAAAATTATTTTTTCCACCCCTGGTGGGCGGCACTGTTTATATTAACCTGTTGATGTTATCTTATTACAATGTTATCCTAAATTAACCCATTTGCAGCTGCAATGTCCAAAAAACTCCCCTTATTTGTTTTATTGTGGATAAGCTAGGCAAAACAATTTTACAGGCCATTTGAAAAGTCTATCAGAGATTAATGTATATCTCGTCTTATGTAATTATACGCAGGGTGTTTGCCAGAAGTAAAAAAAATCCGTGTTTACCTGAAAATATTGGGAAATTTATTTCAGCCTGAAGCTGGGCATTTCTTTGTGGGTCTGGGGGCATGCGGTTGCCCTCTCTCGATTTTGAAAATTTTTGTGTCTTTGAAATGGCATTTCCTGCATTTTGGGAGTAATTTTGAGCAAATGTAGTTATAAACATGTTTTTAATGGCGTATTAACAACATTGAATTTCTATAACTATTTTTTGGCTGACCCAAATATTTGGGAAATTGCGACCTCAAGGTAATTGGGAAAACCGTGTTTAACGCAGAATTTTTGACTGTAGCTAACACCCTGATACGTTTATTTGATGTTGTACATGGTGACAGGAATATAGTCTGTGGCTTATAACAAATTGTTTGCTAAATTTTTTTAGACTTCGCGAAAATTGTGAAGTTTTGTTGTTCACATATTCAGAAGATTACGGCCGTAAGGCAGAAGAGCTGTTGTGGAGAAAAGTCTTTTATGATATCATCCAAAAGTTGAAGTATTTTAGAAAGGTAAAATCTTGCTTTCTAACTCTACAGGATGTGTAAGAAAAACTGCACAGTTCAAAAATATCTGCAAATTCTGCAAAACTTGTGAAAACTTTATGCAAGCATGTTTTTTTCTATATACACCCTGTCAGGCCTCGAATTTCCCTGAAATCAATCGATGGCAATGGCGTTAAAAATTGCCGTAGAACGTAACAGCTGTCTACGGCAATTTTGGCAGTTTCCACAGCATTTTTCAAATTACTGTAATAAAACTTTAATTTTATTGTTACTTTGGATTTTTGACAAGCTAGAAACATGTCTACGTATTTCTTTAGTGTTTTTTTTTTCCGAAGAAAACTGAGATTGATCAACATCTGAATTCAAGTATCAAAATAGTAATGCACAGTGAATAGTATAAAACTTGCACTATACGGCAAAAAATTGCTGTCATTGGTACAATGATCCACAGCATTTTGTTCTTCCTCTACAGCAATTGCTGTGATTGCTGCGATAAAATTTGAGCCCTGCACCCTGTATTATAGTAGGTAGCTCTATCAGTTTGAAACTGTTCTTGCTAGAAGTCCAGTATATTGTACTATAAATAATACAATATATAATATATTGGCAGGATTTAATTTAGGGCTTTACTTGCCCTCTTGTGTGAGCCTTCAATTGTCATTGTAAAATAAATAAATAAATAAATACATTACAAAACAAATGATATAATTTTTTTCATATTTAGAAATATGACAAAGATGCTGAGTTATCATGTGCGTATCGTTCGCATCTGCTCGCTGCGATGACATTTTACTTTCATCTTCTTGTTGGGTTTCAAAATGTCTCAGATGTCAATTTACAAAATTATTTTGATTGGATTCCCTTTGTGTCAGGTAAATTCATGGTGTTCTGTTGCCAAAACTGTGAATGGTTCCTCTCACCTGAAAAACGTGTCATGTTTTTGTGTCAAAACATTAAAAACTGTGACTCCTTTTCTCCGATTAACTTACAGTATCTCATCAATCAGCATTTTATTTTGAAGGATTTGGGCGAACGTCAGTAAAGAAAAAAGGCAAGAATAACGAATCTTGGGTTTTGGGTGCTTGTCAAAGAACTTTGATTTATCTTGGAGATTTAGGTATAAATTTCTTTTGTACATACCATCATTGTTCCAAAATAACCATTGGTAATAATTATTTGATGTATCATATTACTTTCAGCTCGATATCAACAGGAGTTTGACGGTGATCTGAGCACTGAGATGGCCGAGAGATTCTATCATCAAGCTATTTATATCAATCCTGATTTAGGTAAGAAAACGGCAAGCAAAAAAATAATTACAGTTGTAACAATTGAAGTGTTCCTAAAATAATCAGCCCTTGACGATTGACCACTGATTAATCGAATCAGCTAATCAAAACCAAAAGGTGATCTAACCAAAACTAAAGGTGATTGGATCCCTAACAAAAACTAAACGTAACTGGTACATTCAGCAGGACGTTTATCAATTATACACGAAGTTATTACCTTTTTTGAATAACTCTGCAAATTAATTGGTTCATGTTCGCAAATGTTGGTAGAATATTTCAGGTTATCCATTGCTATGACTCATTATTTTCTCAAATCTGTTGCACAATAGTGCTTATTGAAACATCTATACAGTATACTCAGGCAGCTCTGCATGTTTATATGTCTTGGTATTTTATAGGTATGCCACACAATCAGCTGGGCACTTTGTTTTGGAGTCATCGGTATGGATGCAGAGCAGCGTATTATTACATGAGATGGTAAGAATCATGAATGCTTCAGATTAATAGGGATGCAACAACCTCACAAATACAATGACAACTTCAAAGTTCTGATTGTATTTATCATGTGCATATCGTTCCGTTTTCAAATGCCAGAACTCCGTTTTCCAATGCCAAAACTCCCTTTTCCAATGCCAAAACTCCCTTTTCAAATGCCAAAACTCCCTTTTCAAATGCCAAAACTCCCTTTTCAAATACCAGAACTCCGTTTTCAAATGCCAAAACTCTGTTTTCAAATGCCAGAACTCCCTTTTCAAATGCCAAAACTCCCTTTTCAAATGCCAGAGCTCCGTTTTCAAATGCCAAAACTTCGTTTTCAAATGCCAGAACTCCGTTTTCAAATGCCAGAGCTCCGTTTTCAACTGCCAGAACTCCG